GGGGGGGGGGTTTCTATAGATGTCTGAAATAAAGATACAATACAATACAAAATACAAATTTGTTTTTTATGACAACTCTTATAAAGACTGCTGAAAATAGTAAAATTTAAAAAAAAAGTTCCCTTTAGCTAGATGTTGCAGTGATGCTTTTTTTCCTTCCTTTTTGCAGACAAATGCCGAGGATCAGTAGGAGCTTGGCCTGTTTTAAAGACAGTTACCTGGAGAGTGGCTACGTAAGAAAAATCAAACATGGAAAAAGTTCCCTGATCCTCGCAGGTCTGAGATGATCAGGTGATTTTTGTACCATCATACTATGATTTTTAGTTCCAGGCCCTCTGAGGGCATCAGGGTGGATAAATGTTGGTGCTTTTATTCACTTTATTATCGCCATCATCTTTGAGACCCAGATTAATTTTCCAGGGACAAAAAAAAAAAACAAAACATCTAAGATCTGTTGAAAACTGCAGCCTTGTCAAGTGTCATATTCTAAAGCTAAAAAAAAAAAATCACATACTGGCACCTATTCGAGTATGAAGGTAAAATTATTACTTCATTAATTACCAAATATGGTGTACAATAACACTGTATGTGTTTTGTTTTTCTGTATGTAAATAAAGGTATTTTCAGCATTAATTGATACAAAGTAACTATGAGCTGGTGAATAAAAACTGACCTGGAGTAAATTGCCTGATGTTTAACATTTCATGGGAAAGCAAGGCTGAGAAATGCTTTTTCTGAGGACTTGCAACATAAAAGCTAGATTCAGTTTATTAGTCCCACGTGTTTTTATGCTGGGACGAATCAGAATGTTAGCCTTGAAAAAATAACAAGTCACTAACTGTACTTAAAACAATGAGCCCATGAAAATTGACAGCTATATTCCACTGGAAAGGACTAAAGAAGTCATTTATATACATATATGTTTATGTGTATATATATATATATATTTTTTTCTTTCCATATTTTTATGAAATTTAAAGGTACTAGATTTAAATGTAAGTTGCTGGACCACTGAAAACACTGCACAGGCTAACATTAACCCCCTAACAGACTAAATGTATTAAAGGTTCACTTCATGTGAACTAAAACGAGGAAAAAGGAAAACTAGGAATTTTTGGCTTTTCTCACATTTGAATTCACTAATCACTGAAACCTTAATCTGACGCCGAGCGTACATTTTCCTACAGGTTGCTCGTCAGCTTGATGGGCTTACTCAGCAGCAGTGTAGCTTTCCTCTGGTCTAGAGCTCCCTCTCCTGGTCATTGGCAGACATGCCACTAAAGAGGTAATCATGCTTTAACTTATAACCAATCAATAGTTTTTATATGTAAATAAAAAGGATGACGTTCGCGTCAGTGAATGTTGCTGAAACAGCCAGGACTGAACTTACACAGTTACTTAACAGTAAAACTGTAAAACACACAACAATGAACCAGGAGAGTCAATAAAGGCCACGTGTCTCTGATCATTTATTCTTTGAAATTAATATCAGCTTAACAAAAGTATGTAAAAGTTCAGTTTTTAAAACTGTGATTAAAAA